AATGACATAGAACGACGCCTCGACAAAGACACACATGCCGGAATCGAATCAAAGGGGCTCACGACTCAAGCAGCAGGGAGCTTTTTTGGAACTCGCCTTGCAGGGGCACGGCTCTCTTCAACTCCCATTCTGTAGCAGCTGGCTGAACCTTCGGAAAAGCAAAACCCCAGGTCCTCCAACATGAGCTTGCAAAGCAGGAAATGACCTGGACCGATCTGTTTGGTCAACCGGTGCGTGGCCGCACTTCTCACACTTCTCTCTGCAAGGGTTCGCCAAGAACAAAATGAATAGAAACCAGATTTATGCTGCCACTGGCTTACATACCACTTGTACAATACTATATAAATACTAAACATATCTAAACACATGCACCCTTAGCCTATATTAACCCTCTACATATATATATATATGTGAAAGACAAACATGAGACGTCAAACTACGCACAGAGCAAAACAAACGACAAATGACAAAACACTATCACTAAGAGCGCATGAAGTGCACGCGTAAAGTACGTAAAACCACATACAAGTCAGGCAACACAAATATAGAGAAACATAGTTTTTACAGTTTTATAAGAAGCCAAAGCTGCCCTTTTCCATCTCTTGAGCGCAGCTGCTCCTCTGCTCCTACGTCGCCCGTTTCCAAGAATTCTGCCAACACAGTGTTCCTGGGGCTCACTCGTCAAAATCCCTTTGACTTCAGCTAAGCTGTCTCAACGCAACAGATCAAGGACCCTCCAAAACATCCCAAAATCTGGTGGTGCTGTAGCTCGTGTGGTTCTGGTCCCGCCTATGTACTCCCACCATTCCCGCTTGAGCGAAGGAAATAAAACAAACTGCAGCATGATGGGTCGAAGACCATGGCGCAGGATTTGGGGGGTCAATTAGGTCTGGGGTCGACCACATCTGTGAGCAGAACCCACAAGGACGGCCCACCTCAAGAGCTTGCCCAGCACTTAAACATCTGGATCCATTTCATGATCTGATTTTCATGATCTGACAGTTTTTATCTGGATATATGATATATGCGAATGGAAGTGCAGCGACACGTACAGTGCAACTTGTACATATATATGTACCATATGTACTTTGGCTCAAGGATCAAGCGACTAGAAAAGGTGCGGTTTCCGTTCCGACGCTATGCCGCTTATGGACCGTCAGTGATAGCTTCAAACTTCGCTGATTAAGATCCACTCGCAATATATATATATATAACTGATGAGATCATGAAGCGGATTCAAATGGAGGATCCGATCTTGCCTTGCAAGCAAACAAGGAAACACAACACGATATTGGCCGGCAAGTGGCCCAGGTAATTGGCAGCGAAGCTCATCTCGTGGCCTGCAAAGAAGGTCTTGTCGTTTTGTTGGGGGCTTTGAGAGTGAGAAGGAACTGAGGCATGCTTCGGCTTGCATTTCATTCCATCAGGAAAGCTACTGGTAGCAGCTTCCGAACATTCTTCACAGAACGGTAGTCGAACCTAAAGCACTGTTGTATTATATAGTAGCATCTTGAGATGTTTGCCCTTTGTTCCCCCTACAGCATCACATCACTTAAGGGTCAAAGATAGTCGTTCTCACTGCTTTCAAGGTCCAATTGGCCTCCGTATTTTGCTTGCTCCGTAGCTGTGTCGAAGCGGAGGCCCTGTTGGTCCACCAGTTGGCCTCCCCGGCACCTACGGTACTCGTATCGGTCGCCGGTCGCGAGGTCTCACCGCACCTTCGGCGCTCCAACGGGGACCACCCCCAGGGAAGAGACCCGGCAAAATGACACCCTCCTCAGGCCAAGCGGGAGGAAGACCAGGCCGAGCCGGAAGAGGACTTGAGGAACCAAATACGGTGCTCTCAAGTTGAACATCGTGGGGCTTTTTGTGAAAGTGTAGTGATAGATGATTCCTTGCTACCATGGTGAGAACGGTAAATATAAAAAATGAGTGATCATCAGTGCACGCATCAACATCTAGACCCGTTTAGAAGAATGTGCAACGATCGACATCAGGATCATCTTCACGAATTTGAATAGCCGTTTCCCTTCGGCTGCTCCTTGTGAGCATTTGGGAAGTAGACAGCTGCGTTGCAGACCAAAGCCTGGCAGAAAAAGAGCAGAAGTGCTGAGGAATGATGAAAAAATGAGTGTCCAAGTGTGCCCATCCTGTTGGGCATCTGTTACATCCACTCCATACGATCATGTGAGAACAAATGAACCAATATGAACCAATTGTTGCCAGGTGTTTCACTTGTTCATCAGCAAAGGTCGCCATGATTCGCCATAGTTAGGATGCAGTGGCATGGCAGCCACGGCTTGCCAAATGGAAGTTGGATTAGCTACAAGGTCTGGCGTCCTTGTAAGGCGCAAAGTTCTCCTTTTGCCATCAAACCTCAAATCTTGGTAAGCCATTCTGTGCATCACCTCTCACACGTTTTAGTGTTTGCAAAGTCCTTTTCCTCACCAGTGGAGACCTCTGACCTCTACCGCCTTTCTTCGGAACCTCTGGGCCAGAACGGCTCCGCCCGATCTTGGTGTTGCCAAAGGCGCATCCAAGCTCTGGTACATGGTGCGGAAGGTCTGAACGAAGTTCCGGACGCTCTGCTTGCTGGCCAAATCACAGTGCATCACCTGCACTGTGAAGAAGCGCGAGAAAGTGGAAGGCGGGGCGGGTCTTTGCTCCTGTTGTGCTGATTCGATAACTAATGATAACTATGCTCGTCCTTGAAGGGATCTTCATGTGCCAGCATTGCCCAAGCCTGGTAGTTCTCAGGGTTCATGCCAGCCTCCTTGGCGGCTTTTTCCTTAGCGGTAGCGCAATGGATTGCCAGGGCCGCAACACCCCCCCGCGCTTCTCATCACAAATACCCTTGCTCCCGAGGCACCGCCTTCTGAAAGTCCCGGCAAGCCATAACCACCTGGCCAAATAGAAAGTCTCACCTCTTCGACATTCGACATTCGAGGTGAGGTTTGGCATATACACTGGTTTGGCACATCCTAAACTATCCTGTATAAACTTATAAACTCTTTCCACCTGTCCATCTCTATCATTGTAGGCTTGCGAGCGGCAAGGTCGCGTGTGTAGGAGATACTTGATCCCTGCGATTCTTCTCGCTTCCCACGCCCGCAACGGTGCACGGCCTCATCACCCCAAAAAAGGATAGCATTGAGACGCCTCTATTCCACACGGTCCACCGACATGGCTGCCTCGCATCCTTCCCAACGTCACCCTTCCCCGCCAGCCCGGCGCTCGCCTGCCAGCCCTGCTCGGCCAAGGACTTAGCAGCGGACAAGCCTAAGCCACTGGAAGCACCGGTGATGACCACCGTCTTCTTCTTGGACTCGAAGCCCTCAGGCCAAAGCCAGCATGGAGAGGTGTCAGGGGAATATGATAATATTGGATAACCGGTAGCAGTCACAAAAATACGTATATATAATGAATAGCAATATATTCATAATCAATGTATATATTCAATGATACTGTATATATATATATACATATGCTAGAGGCAGGGGTGACCCTTCTTGAGGTGCTGAGCCTCCTTGAGCTGTTGACACAAGCCACTGAGATGAGGCGTGTGAAGCTTAGTTTGTTGACACCCATCAAGGTTTGACAATACTCAAAGTGTAGCATTCCGCCTGATCGCTGTTAGGGGGGTCCACCATCTGGAACGTATATATAGATATGAATTTGACAACAGCCTTTCACCACCACGAAGTTTGGTCCCCGTGGTTGCGGACCCTTAAACGATATGAGCCATGAGCGTTTGCAATGCTTTCTGGGCACCATTTAGACATGGCTGGTTGCAGGTCAAAACTGTGACATTCAACTAGGGCTCTCCGAGTGCGCTTTGGAGTGTTTAGGTTTGGCATATGTCCAAATGAAAACTTCAGCGCCAAGCTATACCAATTGGCCAATCTCGTCCACTCCACCTTTCATCGGTCGAAGTGTTCGTCAGGCTGACCAAGACACCGGAAACGTGGGCATTTGCAGCGAAAACTTCCGGGGCACCTGGAGGCAGGGGCGGGTCAATCCAAAATCGGAAGTTGGAATCCTAGGATTTGGGAGTGAAATGGAGAGACCTTCCATGGAACGACCCCCTGGAAGAATGAGCATAATGAACATCACCCATTTGGGGGTATGTCCAGCCGGGTCGGTCTTTCGGAATGTCATTTTCGACTTCACCCCGACTACCCTTTCTCTAAGATTCTCCCTGTCGACCTCCCAGTCGGCTTGGCCCAGTCTAGCCAGAGCTGTATCAGCGCCCCAGGTGTGACTAAGAACAAGTAGAATGTGTTTGAATTGCTGATCTGGTCTGATAGATTCTGATAGTATCTGGTAGGCTGATAACTGTAATGAGCATCATGGTTTGTCATGAAACGTGGTTTTCAGGGCAGGTCCATCTACAAAAAATGTTGTTCTGCAATCTCTTGCCTTGGGGCACTTTCGCTGGCGTCGTGCACCCGCCACCGCCCCCGCTGCAACGGCACACGCAGCCGCCCAGCCCGGCTGAACAGCTCCGCCCGCAGCCGAAGCCGCCGTCAACGACGCCGCAAACGGCGTCGTGGTGGGTGCCACGATGGGAGAGGCCGCGGTGCCGGCAGGGAGGACGAAGCTCAAGGCCATGGCGGCGATCACTTTGGAGGGCGCGGCTAAGGTGTTTGAGGCGAAACTTGCGGAACGGAGGCGGGGCAATCAGAATCATATAGTAATGAGATGTAATGTAATGAGATGTTATAGCCCTGGATAGACCGACGATCTCACGCTGACCTCCCCAAAACCAAGGTCCAGGATGGTGCAAGTACCAACATTGAGGCCCAGCACAGGAGCAGCCAGGTGATTTCAGCATTTTTGGGGCTGAAGCCCTTACGATGTGCACGTGGAGAGATTATGAACAATCAATCCAACTGATTTGGATTCAACAGGCTCACTTTACCTCAGTATGCTCGGTCTGAGAACGACTGTACTTAGGCTTATATTGTCCTCATGCCTGTCACATCACCATCAGCACGTGCCTTAGCTCGTAGCTTTCTGAGCCAGAGCCGCCAGCGCTGCACCAGCAGCAAGGCTGGTGCTAATGCCAGCGGGGGCGCCCAACTGACAGAAGCCATGGAAGCCATGGCAGTAGGCGGCACCAGTCAAGGCATTCTGTCCAAAACCACTCTGTGGGGAGTCAGCGCGCGGCGTACTGGCCACAAAACTGATCAAATGCATCAGCGAAATATGGAATACGACCTCTGACAGCTGGACACCTGACAAAGCTCCTGTCGGGCGACAGAACATGCTGGGACTTTGGAATTGAACTCGTCCAAACTCCGGCCTGAAGCACCGGCGTTCTCGGTTTGACTGCGGTGAGGTCAAAAGGAACCATCCTTCGTTATGGTGAATGACTACCCAGCCTGGCTTCAACCAGTAAGCACTGGCAGGGGGACATCGCCGCGATGTTTTTCCGCCTGAAAAACGTCTTGGGGGTCTTTTGACGCCACGTATTGCGCCGCAATGAGAAGCAGGGGGTCTTTTGGCTCCTCCTCACATCGGATGACCAAACGTGAATGGCTGGATTCGAAACGGGGTGATTCGCCACCATCCTGGACCTGTGCAACAGCACCGCCTCGAGCCCAAAGAAACTCCACGGTAGGCACCAGGATGCCCTTTTTTAGTTTGGCCCTGTCCTTAAACAGGAAGAAAGCCCTCTTTTAGCATGGAAAAAGCTACCTGACGAGCTGTGAACACGTATTTGGAAGGGATGGGATTGTTAAAATCGCTTGTGATTTGGACCGGACCGGTAACCATGATTGATCTTGATTGAGGATATGCCATAGCACTTGTCGGAAGAGCAAGACTCGTCGAACGGAGGAGAGCTGTATGATAGAGGAGGCTGTTGGACAAGGTAGGACACTTGAAGGCATAGATGATCAAGGATGACGACAGGTGTTGAGAAATGGGAAGGGTCTTTTGCGACGAATACGTGTGTATGAAGTTATGGTCCCTGTAAAGGATTGATATTGTTGCAAATGTATTCCAAGGGTTGCCCTTAAGGATCTCTTAACTTGATGCTATATAACATATATATATATATATGCATGCTTTAATATGTTATATATAATACTTTTGTTTGTATAGTTCTCTTTCTGAAACACTCGCTGACTAAGAAGATACTCCTGGCCTATCCAGAAAACCCTTTTGAGGGATGGCGTTTCATTGCCCCAAGAGGGTCATTCGAGTAGTCTGGGAGCCTTTGGTGATTTAGGGTTTTTGGAAAAGCCTGCTTCAATAGGGCTAAAAACTCCCCAATGAAATGGCTCGCGCGCAGAAAATCACACCCTCGCCCTAGAAATGCGGCCTTGTGATTTGGAAAAAGAACACGCCATTCTTCGGGCCATGATGTAGACTCTTGATTCACCAAACCCTGACAGTTTAACCAGATCCGCTATTATATAACTATATACCCCCAAAAAAAAGAGGTATACACATATAGTAGAGGTACTATTCACCGAGAACCTCGGAAAGCCGATGGCCATGTCTGCTTCGGCCCCGAGCTTCACACCCTGACCGCGGTGACGAGTTCCCGCGGAGCTACCGGCCTCAGCGTGTGAACGCTGAGGCTTTCAGCGAACTGCTGGGCCTGAAGCCGAACCTCAGACGGGTCAGAGGGGTCAGACAAATCCACCAAGTGAAAGGAGCATTTGCTCCGGGAGAAATAGGGATAAAGTATTTCTTCAAGGCATGTGCTGTTGAACAGGTCTCTGCCCCCAATCTTGTACAAGAGGATGATGAGGATGATGATCAATCATATATAGAATCATGTTAGTTGATGAAGAAGCCTCTTCGAATGGAGGCACTTGCCAGCCCAGCCCAGCCCACCTCCCTTTCCCCTGCATGTTAACAACCTGTGGCTTCATGGATCTCCGCTGGCCTCGTCCGGGATATGTTTGTTCAAGAGGAACATGGCCACCTTCACACCGACACGTCGAGACGATCCCCGGCGGAAACCGAAGGAAGCTGGGGAACCGAAGGCGCGAAGGAAGCGCGGTTGGGGTGTTTAATCACGGAGGGTGTTGGGGTCTCACGGAGGGTGTTGGAAAAAGGCTACTGTATAGGTGTTCCATTACTATGCCGATTCTTCTGGACGGCGGGTCTATTTTGCTTGGGAGACACTCACGATCCTGGGAAGAAGTTGTCGTGTTCAGTCGAGGGCTAGGCCTCTTCTTCACCTGCTCGGCCTGCCTCATCAGAGAAGTGGTTGCAGTTGTGCTGCAAGACCTCGCAGAACTGGTCGAAATCAGCGTCCGGGGTCGTGGGACCAGATGCGTCAAACTAGGACCGACAGGCCTCTCTTAGAGTTTAGTGGGAGGAATTTCCCAGAAAAGCACCTACCAATTAAAAGCTTCTGCCTCTTGCATCGGGTCTCGTAACAGTTCTGGCTCCAAGTTTTGCCACACTTGTGAGGTGGCGATCGGAATCTAAAGGAGAAAAAACCTTTCGACATGGTTTGACGTAAGGTTCATGTCCAAGTCTTGCTCCTTTTCGTGGTGTTCCGGACGAGGAGCCGCACCCAAACGACTTTGGCTGATGAGGGCGCTCCCCTGGGGCCCCCCACAACCATCTAGTCGTCTATAGTTCATTACTAGCACCCATTCGATCATCCCCATGTTGAATACGGTAATTCTGTTGATCTTTGTTGATCTGTCTCAAAGACGCGTATTCCGAATTCGCTGACTTCTGCGGCGCTGCGGCATCATAGGATTCTCGAGTGTATTCTCTGCAGAGCTCCTGCCAAGATGTGCGAAGAATCTTGGGGAAGGGTCCCGCCCCAGCAATGAACGATCCTTGAGGGCTATTTCAGTATGTCGAAACCATGCGCCAGGCCTGCCCCTGGCCATCGTATTCCCGCCATCATTCGAAGAAAAGATCCCAGGACAACCCCCCCTTACCTCCGTAGTTGCATCTGGAAAGCCTATGGTGTTCTTGTTTGGTGAAACCTGCACCTATGGTATCCCATGATGTTCTATGACCCTCTCTACATACATGCTCGGACCTTTTTCTCCGTATGGCCCGGTCCACCTCATTCGAGGATCGTCGGCGGTCCGTGTCTCGGATGGGGCCACGCTCAAGTCCGTCGGTCGACCGGCGAACGAAGCGTTTTGGGTCTTTCTGTAACGTGAGGAGTTTCGTGTACCAGTATTCAGTTTCTCTCAGTCATTGGGAGCATTAAACAATAAACCAACATCAATCAAAATCACGTGGAATTGATATATGACTACAGGTGCTTCGATGGAGTGGTTGTCATGACGTTCGCCATTTTGGCACAAAACCCATCAACGTGCCCATCCGATGACGTCTTCGAAGCTGAACATATCTGCCATGCGCCAGTCATTTGATGATGGCCGCAGCGTTTTTTAAAGATATTTCAATGTACATTTGAGTCACACGACGCCGCTGTGGTGCTTTAAAAATAGAGGGTGCAAGCGCAAAGATTGGAAACAAATCAAAGCAGTTGGATCTTTTGAACAGACATTCCCCTCATCTCGGCTTGAGGCAGACTTTCACCACTGTTTCTCTGGCGTAGGCGTAGGCTGCATTCAACATTGTATCCATACAGACCCTGCACTTGCCACACCACATCTTGACTTTGAAAGTGCATCGCGGGCGAGGATTAGCTGTGCAGCATCAAAAATTCCGCCCGCAAGCACTGCATCCCTGTTATATATCTTCCGACGAGACCAGGTGAGCGCCGCGCCTAGCTTGCATGTCTCCCAAGCCTTCAGATAAATGCTGTATTTTTTCATCTAATTAGATCATCTAATCTATTCATCTAAGCGCAAAAGATTTGCAGAAGCTTGGCCATGGGTATCTTCCTTGTCTGGAAGGAAGCCCCGGTCTGGCATCTTCTTTCAAGATTGTTGTTTCGACCTCTAGCTCACATTGTGGGTCGGTCAGAGGCCCTGAAGTAGACCGGTAGGCCTAGAGTCACGAACCATCATGATCGAAAGTGAGGACAACGTTCTTCTTGTGGTTGTGTTTTACTATGTTTTACTTGATCTTGCGGATGAGTCAAACCCCCCATAAGCCATATGGAGATGTAAAGCCTTTAAGCCTTTAAATACAACATTATAAAACCATCTTGGCTAATCAGTCGAACACCGCAGACGGGAGGATGTGACGTCAGTCTGACGCTTTGACGTCAGACCTGCACCGCCGTCTTCAGGTCAACTCCTCCGTTCTCTTCGGCAAGGGGTGGATCCCCGAGGGGGTGGGCCGATCCCAGGGGTGGCTGAATAAGCTGCCCGGGCCGATCCGCACTCCATTCACATAGTCCTGCAGCCTGGCCAGAGGGGCTCAACGTTCAAAAGCAGACATGAACCCTTTCACCATCCTTTAACCATCTTTGACATTCTTTGACCATCCTTTAACCCGTTCATTGGTCCGAGGAAGGCTGCTTCAGGAGCGACCTGTCCTTCGTGGCTGTCCTGTCCTTCGTGCTTAAGAAGCTCTGTCCGATCAAAGGGTCCCAGCTTCGTCCGGTCATACGGCATGTTTGCACACACCCCTGGCCCCTGGCCGTGGGATCACCACATATTCTTGACCACAAGACTCTACCACAGTCGTTTGACCCTTTGGGTGGGTCCAACTGAGTCCAACCCCGCCACGCCACCACCCAGCAGCTTGAAACAAGCTCCAGCTGTCCTGGCCTTCCCCAGCCCAGCGGCAAAGAGTCATCCACTTTGGGGAGCTTAGATTCCTTCTTCACCTCTGGTATCCTGAGGATTCTCACGCAAAGCAGCTTGGAAGGCTGGTGGAGACCAGCCCCTTTCCGCCATGAAGTCTCCACAAGAGGAAAAAATCATGTGATTGAACGTTTGCGCAGCATTCCCACCTCTTTTCCCTCAGGATGCCGGATGCCCCATCATCACTGAACTCCGAGAAACTCCAAGTGTTCAATCCGCATCCCTGAATGTCCCGCCTCTGCTCCTTCACCTCTTTCTTCCCCTCTCCTTCACCTCTTCTGTCTCGCTGCCCGGCCCGCGCCAGCATGCGCGTGGGGCTGGGCTCCAAAGCCAACAGCTCCACTGGCAGGGCCACCGGCAGCCGAGGCTTCGAGCGAGCGTCCTCGTGAGGCACCGCAGCGTCGGGTGAGGGATCGAACCCATGGGCGGCACGCACCGGGCAACGGCACGCACCGACGCACCTCTCCTAAGCTTCGGTATAGACTAAGAATTCTACAAGCACCGACTACCGATGATCTCATGTACAAAGTGATTACTCAATCTCACATGGGGAGATTAATCACTCAACAGTAGGTTGACCCAAAGCTTACTCTCATCCGAATGGACAGGATGCTCCGAACAGTCGTGGTCAAGCATGACCACATAGAAGTGAACCCGTGCCTATGTGACCGAGATCGGGACATGTGTGTTTAATGTGACGTGCCAAATTTGGGTTCAGTTGGTCGGCCCCAGCTGCTCTTACACTTAGTGAAGTGGGATCTCACAGTGGGCCCCAGCTGCATCTCCATCACTCCTGCCAGCGTTGCTTTTGCAGGCGCTCCTTCTCCTCAAATCAGGAGTGTCTGAGTTCCCTCAGGGTAGATTGTCAACACTTTTGGGCACCTGTTTAGCTTTCTTCAGTCTCTTACTACATTCACCTTGGACATTGTCTTCGCCCTTGAGTCATCGCTAGTCCATGTTCCTCTGGCGCGCTGCTTGCCAAGTGACCATGAGGCCCCGTGACACCTGCTGCTGCTTCTTGCTGCGGCATGGTCCCATCAAGGTGCGACGGCCCAGAGTGGAGACCCATTCCTTGTAGGGGAAATCCTCCTCCTCATCCTTAGGTTCTGCAGCTCTTTTGGATTTCTGCCAGCGTTTCTGCCGAGGGTCACATGGACCACCGAGCGATAGGCCGGGAAAAACAGCACCACCAAAGCCCCGCCACCCGGAAACCCTCTGAAACCCATCGCGTTGGACCTCCGGAACGCGTCCGCAGCCGGGCGCAGCATCCATGTCTGGTGGTGCAGACCCCATCCGTGACACGGGACACATCCATGTCTAGTGCACAAATGTCCCACACAGTTCTTGGTTGGTGCTTTCTCGCATCAATCCTCCGACATCAGTATAATTAGTCTGGTGCACGTGACCCGAAATGGCACCACTCACCAGCAAAACCCCAACAACGCCTCCATGCTGCATACACCTGCGTTCTTTTTCTTCATCTACTGAGTAGGACCCACCCACCCGTCTCACGCTGAAGAAGCGGAGGCTTCCTCCCGGGTCTCCGGCTCAGTGACCTGAGCGTCGAGAACACGCTCGGAGAGGTGGGGTTTGGAGCCAAAGCGAGAGACTCGGTGCATCGAATGGTCCTGGAATCCTTTGGAAGTTCTAAACAGCTTCTAAACAGAGGCTCATTCTGGGCCAAGTTTGGGTGGAACACCGTGTTCCAAACACTTACGAGGTTGTTTTGACTAAGGCGTCATTTTCGATCGCCTCCAGGGGTCAGCAAACATTGAAATATTCAGGTAAATAAATAACAATGAGATACAATGAGTCTGTTGAACTGCGTGTGTGAATGTGAGAATGGACCAAGCGGCCTCTCCAAGGACACAGTTCGCCAACCTCACCTTTGGGCTTTGGAACTGATGTGCCCTGTAACCCTTGCTACTGTTCATGGGCTGTGCCCGCCTCCTTAGCCTTTCGCATGGCCATCCACCAGACATACCAAACCGGGCTTTGCAAAGTCCGCTTCCCGTCTACACGCGCTGTCTACACGGGCCTCCAACCTTCGTGGACCCTCTCCGAAAGCCAAGGAACGAATTCCTGCCCCACCCGCGAGCGGATCTTTGGCAGCTTCATGTCATCCAACCCGTCTCCAGTGTCGCGTCTCGGGGGCCTCACCGGAACTTGGCTCGCGATGAGTGATGGAGTGATGACTGGGGTCGTTGGTGACTGGCCTTATGTGTTGAACAGCCCAGCTTGTGCAGTGAAGAGAGCCAACCGCCCACAAGGCAGATCTGACAGTTGACTCAACTGGAGACTGATGGCTGAGGAGAATGCGGCAAAACGCCAAACCACCGAACCAAGCCAAGGAACCCTTTCGGACCTTAACGCATTGCTGTCACCAAGCCGGGCATTTGTTGCTCGGCTGTTCCCAACTCCCTTGAGCCCAAGCTGCGCGGCTAGGCTTTCGAGGCTGCGCTGGCTGGGCTCAGCTAGGCCAAGGGCCCCGACTGGATTGATGAAGATTCCGGAATTGAGTCATGGAGTCATGGACCAGTTCTCCGCGTTGCCTGAGAAACCACGCTTCACCATGCTTCAGCTTGTCTTATGAACGTGCTGGGCTCGAAACAGGTGGGTGTTTTTTGTACTCACCGCCAGGAGGCATGCTGGGCTGGAAGGGACTGGTGTTCAACAACCAAAGGAAGGAACTGAGCAAGTTCTTCTGGGACCCCAGGAACCCCGAGTGGGTTGATGAGCAAAACCAGGCCAACACCCTCACCACGATTGCTGGGGTGTCATTGATCCACCTCTTTCTCCTATGCATGTCCCTTCCGGCTCCCCCCCGCGACGGTCGGAGTCTCCCGATCCATCTTGTCCCACAACTCCGCTTGGGTGCAAAGGGTCGCCTCGGCGGACGGGGCCAGTGGTGGTGGCCTCTAGGCAGAGGAGGTACACTCCTGGATGGAGGAGAGCTCTGAGGAGGGTGAGTTGTACGGCGTGGGCGATGGCGCACTTGTAGGTCATGAGTCATGATGGAGGAAATGCTGTTCCCCAAAGACCTCCTTGTATGGTGGACCAAGGTATGGCGGGGTTGTGCCTTGTTGTGCCATCTCGGTACATTGAGAGCAAACAAAATTGGGTTCCTCCTAGACAAATGGTCGCACAATGGAATCGAAGGTCAGAACTTGATGGCGCCAAACTGATGATAACGGATGCCTGTATACATAGGCTTCCAACCACCATTGATTTGATGGGTTTTACCGAGCGTGAACCTCTCTTATAAACAATTGTCTTGAAAAGAGCTTTGCTAAGGCGAGCCCAAGGCCCATTTCCAGAAGGTGCGACAAATCACCGTTTCATGTCACTATGTTATGGGCGTGACGAGGTTCAAAGGCTACGTCTAGGGAATATATATATATAATATATATATATAACTATACTTAAGTTAGTATCTATTTAGTTTATCGGTGCACTAACTGTTGCACTATCGAACTACAGCAAACTACTAAAGAAGCTAAAGACTGGAAGTGGCTGGTGTCTGGGCAGCAATTGATCTCTCCATGTTTGGGCGCGCTTTTGATCGGCCGCGCTCATCTGATCCAACTCACTCAGCCGGGCTCTCACGGTGACAAAGAGTCTGGGCGCATGAGAACTCAGCAGCCCGAAAGGAAAATCACCGACGAACTCGACAGGAACTTGAGCAACTGCAGTTGGGCCTGCACAGGGAAGGCAGGTCAACACAGCATGATGGGAAGAAGCGCAGGTCTTGCCATGTGTGCTTCGCAACCATCAGGGCGTTCCCAAAGTCATCAAGTCCGTTCCAATCTAGCCCATGCTGTAGCATCGGATGCAACCCCATCAGATAGAGAGTCACTATCTGATTATCATTGAATATCCAATTTCTTAGGCACATCTCATATCAACACAGTGAGGAGGTCTGCCAGGATTGGCTGGGATTTCGCTGCATCTTCTTGCAGTGACCGGGCCTCGATCGAGCCTTGTGACCCCTTCAGGGCACGTCTGGGATGAAGCCCAATTCACAAGCCACTGAGAGTACCTGGTGGCCAATGAGGACCATTGGAGAACACAAGTGAAAGCGGTAGAGTAGGGCGACCAAACAAGATCAAAGTGGGTGACCCAAGAACGAGTGGATGAACTATGTGTGTCAATGCTGACCTTGGCGGAAGACCAGTGGGCGACTTAGTGGATGAATTCTTTGCTTTGTGTTTAGTGCTTTTGCTGAACTCCCCGAACAGAGGATCCCACTCAACATGAGGATTGTTCTTTTTTTTCAGCTGCGGCTCGGCGGCTCGTCAGCAACCGCTCACCCCCGTCAGGAAACAACATGGACAGTCGGTAGGGGTCCTCAGAGTAGGCAAGGTCTGAGGTCTGAGGGATGCCAAGGGGACATTTGAAGGCTGTTCATCTGCAGAGAAATTCTTGTCACCCCTCCTGTTTTCATACAATAAGGCAATACACGGGCTATACAACTCCCAGCTCAGATCTCTCAAAAGATACCACGCCATGGAAGAAACAGACCTTCACTTTTTCCCTCAATGATTTGCGATAAGGCACCATGAAGATGGCATAGTGACCCAAAAGAACCTAGGACACAGCAAACACAGGCAAAGAGAGGGCACCTGTGCCGAGCTTGTGATCCATGAATGGCCTTGGCCACTGAATCACCTTCACGTTTGTGGCACTGCAGGAGATCGTCACATTCTCCCCGAGCTAATGTGCTAATTCAACGACGCTTTCGGCCAGGCCATGGGGGCAAGGCCTGCCTCTTCGGCCCACGAGTGGTGCAAAGACCGAAGACCCCTTTTCGATTCCAACAACGCCAGGTGCAGATCTCACCAGATCTTCAGCTCCCAACTTTGGGCTCTCTTAGCGAACCTTCATGAACCTGCCACATGTCTGACCCTTCAAGCAAAGCAAAATGCCTCCAAAAAAAGGCGGCTCGAACACATCAAATTAGTATTCTTCCCATTGATGGGGGGAGTTGCGACTAGAAGGGTCTCAGGGAGGCTCGCACACGCCACCTTCGGACACCTTCGGCTTCTCCGTTCCAAGCGACCCAGGCCAATCGCCGGGGGCCATGGAAGCGAAAGCCCGCGAACCTCGGTCGCTTCGGGTGGCCACAGACCAACTGGCTCGAAAAATGGCGGCAAAACCTCTGAGGTCTGACTTTAACGTGCGTTTTTGTTAGATCCCCGCTACCAGCGATGGGCATGAATTCCGACTCCACCAACGTTCCGGGGTCGGTCTCCGGGGCACACAGCCATGGTCATCACGACGGCCAAGAGCAAGGAGACTGCGGCGATCCGGTTCCTAGGACTGTCTGAGGAAGTCGAGATGGGCAAACAGTGCAGTGGACCTTGGGCTCTTTGGCTGTCAGGAAATGAACCCATTTTCTGTCTGCACTGGTGCTGTCTGCCATTGTCACCCAGTTGATGAAAACAAAAACAAAGCAAAGCACGCGGTGCTCCAAAGGGCTGCTTGCTGAGCTGTGATCGAAGGTCTCCGTGCTGCCAAGTGTGACTGGTCAAAGCGATTCCTGTCAGGACAGGACTGTTGTCTGAATAACTGACTAAAAACTCTGGAACCAGCGAAGATTTTTTAATTACAGTAATTGTCATACTGCCACTACTGAGAGTGTGCATCTGTGACAGGAAATCACTTCTTCTAAGTCAAAATATGTCAAAATATTGTCACAATTGTCACTTCTTGCTCCGATGCTTCTGCAATGTGGTACCAGATGTGCTGCATACGATTCTCAACAGCCACCTTGCCAGGAACAGTCACCCCATACCCCACCAGCCCCTGCCTAAGCCCAACAAATCACTCAAGAGCGGGGAGCCATAGATCCCAGCAACCGCCATTTTCGACCTGGCAGTGCCGCAAGCACTGCGACCAGCTTGGCCCTTGTTGTGAGGACAACAGCACCACAGCACCACCAAGCGCGTGAAGATCAGCAATCGAATGGTTAGTTTTTTGTGTCATCCTTTGTCAAGCAACTGGCTTCCCAAAAGACCTACACTCCCCCATACTCCCCCCACCATCCCCCATCCTCAGATGCTTTGGGGCAGCTTCTTCCTCCGCAACAACACAGCCACTGGCCTCCCTCCACCGGCCTCCCTCCGCATCCCGAAAGGCCTCCGCTGGCGCACGAGCGCGGTGTCTGCCACCAGATCTCCAACGGAGTTGCCCCAGGCCAATACCGTGATGCCCAGCACCTAGGTGCTGCGATCTCGGAAATCGGTCGAGGTGGAAGGGCGGGAGATCTCCACGGCCGTTTTGGAGACGAAATCGAATGGGCCGATGTCCCCCGGTGTATCGAGTGTAGGAGCAAGCAGTGAGAGGAATCTGGAGGTTTGTTTTGCATTGTTTTGGCCCCTATGGTTCCAAAGCGGCCAAGCACGACTCTGAACACAAAAGAGCTTTGGCTGCGGCTCCTGTCGGGTGCCAGGATCAATCTCAGCGACTTCAGGGTTCAGGATTGATCGACTGAAACTCCCACATTTCTGCAACGCTAGCACCTTGACCGACTTCAACTTTGGTCAACTTAGTGGTTTCTGTGGTTCGTTCAATCCTTTTTCCTTTTCGTGTTTGGTTTCTCCTTGTCAATGACATTTGGAACTCTATGCTGACACCCGGAAGAACTCCATCAAATTAGACTTTGAAAATATTTGTAGGTGCCCTTGTGTCCCTACCAAACTCTCCGTGATCCTCGCTCTCGCGATTTGCTTCTTTGTTTTATAATCTTTGAGATCTCGTGCGGGCCTCAGAGTGTTCTGCAGAAAAAAGAAAGGTCCCTCAAAGCACAACTAGGCTCCAAAGAACTCACAGTGCCTTAGAAAGCTTCCCCATCCCACTCCATCCTTTTCAATCCAAATGTCTGAGGAGGAGATGCCCAGGTTCAGGCCAAAAGCCTCCAGCACGGCCACACATTCGTTGGCCAGGAAGTTGAACCAACTCACCGCCGAGCACATGGCCTGCCAGCGCGGAAGGAGCTAAGCTGCTAAGCTGCAGCGGGTGTGCCAGGTCACCGCGTGGTGTTTGGGATGGTGGGAGGATGGGAAAAGATGGGCAAAAGGGCATGGGCCATCACCGAACAGGTTGGTGATGCTAACCTTGCAAAACGATATCAAACTTGCAAACCCTATGTGTTCTTCATGCTGCTGATGGCCACCAAAAAACCCTGACCTCCCATGTCCCGTGCCCCTCTTCAGCCCAAGTGTCCCAGAGGAGCAGTGCAAGATGCCAGCGCGGCATGCGCGCTGGTGTGGAGAAGCGCAGCACGGCCACACCCAGTAACATCCCCACCAAGCCACACACCGCCCAGCCAGGCACTCCAACGCCCCCAGCACCGTTGGGAACAGCAAAGGCCTCAACGGAAGGAGCGGCAGAGAGCCGCCGTCTCCGGTGTGAGCGGCCGCTTTCGCCCTCAAAATCCCCAATGCAAGAGGGATTCCATGGGCGATTCAGAAAGCTTTGCATGTCATTGCGACATGCAAAGTCATCGATAGATAGTATATAATAATGTATATATAGAAAAAGAACATAGGGAAGATCCAAAACCAATGACATAGGCAATGTATGGCAATGTCCCCCTAGCAGCCTACTAGTTAGCCAATTTGCCCGTTTCAAGGGCAGTCTGCCTCTGGGGGTCTCACCATCTACCACGGTCTCCCGACTCTCCCGACCACCCACGGTGGTCGGATCGAAAGTGGTCGCCTCCCAGCCGCCAAAAGAGAGGATCATGAAGAGGCTCCCGCAGGTGGGGCACAGCGCCGCCAAGACCCTCCGCGGCCCGTTCCAGGCGGCCGACGGAATGCACACGTGCCTGCACGTACAGTAAGCGCACGTAGACGATGGACGGGGCGGCGAGTTGCCACGAGGCACATTGGTGAGAGGAAGCCAAGAGAAGATGGAGGGGATAGAGAGGTATCTACTCAGGTCGACCTTTACAGATCATATATAATTAATGTTGGATGCTGGTTAGTAAATGGTTCCGCAATAATGCTAAATTTTTCAAAAATTATTCATGACCCCATGTTTGAAAAATGGTTCCTGAATAATGCTAACTTTTTTGGTGGCCCTAATTTTTTTTATATTGAAACCTTTTATATTGAGGCCAATGATTATGATTCATTAGCTGATATAGCTTTCTCTAGGCTTCTTCAAAACTGACAGCTGACCAAAACCACCAATTCCCCAATTAAACCCTTTATAAAACATTGCTCCTAAACAAATTTTCAAGGTAGTAGACCAGGAAGGCACCTGATCCTCAATAACAAATTTGTTTTTGGGTCCTCAATTGTGAAAAGTTTTTTCCACTGGAAAAAATTGCTCATGGAATCTTCCTTTACTTAGGAAGCCATGGAAGCTGAGGAAGAAGCTCAAAGCTTGGGGCTTCTCTTGAGCTGAAGATCTGAGGCTGCAAAGCAAAAGGATTGTTGAGAACAATTACAAAGCACCTGAGAAAGGAAGCTGAATACTACAATCAATTACAAAAGGAATCCTCACATGAATCCAGATTTGTTTTGGTGGTAATTTATTATAGAGGGACCTCTATCTGTTTGAAGGGGGGGGGGGACCCCCCTTTACTAATCAGGATCGAACATTACCTGTTCAAACGCTATAGATACCGTTGCATAACGTTGCATACATACATCATTGTACATGTTCTTTCTTCTTGGGACGCGAATGCTCCACCTAGCTTTCTCCTGTTGGGGTCACTCTTGGCAAAGGGCTTTTCCGAGATCCGTCGCGCAGTGGGATCAGGGATCCCCGGGCCCCCCCGAAGCGGCGCTTCACCACTCCTCGAACAGACCTGCAAAACCTGCTCTAAGAGACGTATAGCCAGCCAAATGCACACGCAAAGACATTTACTGTAGCAAATATGTCTGGAGGCCTCCAATCACAAATAGAAACTGCGTCCTGCAGATACTTTGTCAAACAGGAAACAGTATTGTGCATCATCTTGCTGGGAGTATTGTAGGCAAGATCTTCAGAAGTCTGGCTCCCAAGTCGCCTTGCCAGGGTAAATGGTAGCTCCATGGTCGTCAAGACCTCGGAAGCGTAAAGGCTTCCAGCTGCCATCACCTAACGAGCTATATACAAAATATCATACAACAGCTAGTTGCATATGTATACAGTACAGCATGTAGTCTACATTTACATTGATATATGATATATCTACACAGGAGCACGATACATGTTTACCATAATTAGTGTGTATAATACAGTATTATGCCCACTTGCAGACCAACCACATACTTAACATATGGCCTTTCCTCTCAAAGCAACTTCTGATGTTTTAGTAGACCAATGCCTGGACAAATGCCTTCCTGATGAGGGGCCTAAAAACCTTTCGGCGGGAGCATCAAACCCAGCTGGTTTATGTGAATGCGGCCCGCCACACCTTAGCCCCACACCAGACTCAAGTTCCCTTTGGCTTGTAGTCCGGCTAGCGCCATTGGCTCACTCACCTGCAAGAGCTCCAAGAGGTTAAGCAATTCGGAAATTCGGCTTACTAAGAACCGTCCCGGCCCTGGCTTACGATCCCCCAGTGGTCCCCATTCACCCCCCCAAAAGAAACAACCAGAGGAAATCCAGACATCAACCTCAAAGTCTCGGTTTGCGCTCTTGCAATGTCTTCCCTGGCCAAGGCATCTGTTACGGATAGTCGGAGAACAATTCCAATGATCATCGCCATGCTCTTCCGAACCTCTTTGGGTCCATGTCAACCGAAGACCGGCGCCTGCAATCCACCCACATCTTCTGCTTCGGACTCCGAGGCCAAAGGCTGGAAGCTGTCTGAGGGGCTGTTGGGCTCCTAGCGCGGCAGCACCATCGACCCGACCGCGCGGTATGGCCTGAGCACCGGCTGCGCACTGAGCACCCCAGAAAGTGCGGCCCGTGCTGCGGCTGATGATCGGAATTCGTTGCAGAAAGCTTGGAAACAGTGTGCTGAACACTGCCATGCAAATATTCATACCACACCATTCACCAACGATAAACTTCCGTTTATCCCGTTTGCTTTCGTGTGCTACGTTCAACTTGAATTTTGAGGGCTGTTGGTTGTGGCCATTTCACATGGAAAGCAATGGAACACCGTGCCATGTCCCTTGCCCACATGGTGGTTGCTCAGCCCATTCCAAAGAATTTTGGATAGGATGATTGCGGTAGGGATCCACAAGGCGACAAGGGCAGCCGGGCAGCCCAAAGGTTCAAGAGATCTCCAGGAGTCCCTTGATGTTCCTCGTTCTGGTCACATCGAACGAGACTTTTGGTCCATCGCAGCGTCGCAGCCATGTTTTTGGGGGGACCGATTTGTCAGCGATCAGAGTGAGGAGTCCAAGCTCTAGGTGGTTTGGGTCCTGAGCCCTGGTGAAATACAACTGGCACATACTGGATGAAGCTGGACTGCCTGGGATGGTTGACGGAGGGCCATCAAGTTGATCCTCCGGAAGGGGCTCAGCAGTCAACGCTGTGTATTCCACTTTGTCACAGGCATGGACGCTACCCCTTGCCTTGCCATGAGACTCTCCTGGGAGCTTCGGCCATGTCTCACCGGACCGTTCCTCATTTCCCCACGTGACCGACGCGCGGCACACGTGATCGTGCCTCCAGTTCGATGTCCTCAGTGCTCGATGTGCGTGGGCTCAGCCGGGATGGAAGTAAGACCACCAGCAGGTAGACGCCATAGAGCGCAAAAAAGGCGAGCGACTCTACGAGACCTCAAAGGCCAAAACTCCACAGGTGTGAGGATCTTCGATTGAAAAGGACGCCTGGGCAGTCCAGAAACAGGAGCGTGCCTCTACCAGTCATCACTCAACAGAGGGCACAACATGTTGCTGAATCTCAAAACCAACTGGAAGGGCTACGAATGTCTACTGTGCTGCAACACGCCCGTGGGTGCTCAAAATTCAATCCGTCAAGTCAGTTCCCCAAACCCGCCACAAGGTGTTCTTGTCCAGCGACTGATCTGGCCGTCCCATGTCACAAAAACCATAAAGAAGACCACCAGCAAATACCTGAGAAATCAGATTTTTCTCGACAAGAGGCCGCAAGAGTGGACACAAATGGAGGTTCATCTTCCTTGTCACCCAGCCTGTGGTTTGTCCCCTTCAGGTTCGTCTGGACTTGCACAGCTCATAGCCGTGAAGCTACACGATGTTGGTTCTGTATTCACTTTGATATGCTTAAAAAGCACCTACCAGCCTACGAGTATTGTTGATGATCAGGTCTTCCAATTTTATGATGTTCCACAATGTTCCCGTAGCCAAACCCTCTGATGAACACAATGCACCCTTTCAGCGTAAGAAATATGGGAGATTGTGACCCCATGCAGTGGTGTCAAATCGGCATGCCCCATGTTCACAACCTTGCTCAACGAATTTATATATCTGGATTGGAGGTCACAACAGCATAAAGCTACACGGAACGGACTACGGAATGGCCGGTCACAAGTCTGTCTGCCCCTGTTTGGCACCACCGCGCCGTGCCCGCCACGTGAGAAAAAACCAGGGCAAAAAAACCGAGCACGCCACCACAACGCCGTCTACAAAATCGCCACCGGAAAACGACACTTTTTTCGATGATGTTCCAAATGCAATGATCTCAATAGTTCAAACGGTACGTTCCTCCGAGGTGCATGGATGAATCGCGCAAGAATGGCCAGGCATCGACACTGGTGGCCCCCGGGGAGGCCAACAGCACACAGGCAAAGACAAAGACCTCGTCACTCGCAGGTGGTGGGATGTGGGGGGTCGTGGGGAAAAAGCCCCTGGTCCTCTGTGAAGAGAGTCCTCCGGGCTGCTCAAAAGGCTGCGATTGACTTTGGCATGAAGTTCGGTGTGCTAAGAATGGCCTCAAAGCCCGCGGAGAAAACAAGTGACAAAAGAGTATGGACAGAGCTCACTTCCCGAGATGCAACCCTTTTTGCTGAGATCTACAGCAGCAGTTTGGCTCAAAGAAAATTCCAGCACAACAAATTCCAGCGGCGATGATAAAGTTGGCCGCACCCAAGAACTCTCCCATTGTCAGCGCCAGGTCATTCGCCTACACGGGGCAGTCACATTCGCGTGCGGTTTGATCGGGTGCCTGAAGTCACTTGGGTCTCAAATCCACTCCAGTGTCATTGCATCGACTGTGAAGCGATTGAAAGCATTTTTGTGGGTTCCATGTAAGTGCTGTGTGTGTGTGTGAGGCACTCGGTCCTCCGGCCACCGACCCAACAAAAGCGCGCGTGTGTCCTGGCATCGTGGCCTTGTTGACTGAGCTGCATGCGGTCATCACATCGGGCATACCATTGCCCAGTGCCAACAAAGTCACACCAGCCACATCCTCCTGCACTTGCAGTGCGAAGCACTTGCAGTGCTAGGCATCTGGCCTCCCCCATTTCCCAAGATTCCCCAGAATGATACTATATGACATCATATTGACATCATCGGATAGGTCGCAAAAACTAACGAAAGTGTCCAAGCACAGCCCAAAAAACACCCATTTTGCTGTTCAGTCTTTTGGCTAAGTCTGGGGGCCGGGGCTCCCGATCTTCGACGCGAATTCTTCAGCAACAACCAAGAGATGACACGGACTTGCCGCCATTGGATATAACATGATACAACTATATGGCTCCGCGATGGCTCCTACAATTGGCATATGGTGCACTGCGCAAAATTGGGATCAGGTGTCATCGACATGAAGACTGCACCAAACTAGATAAACATAGGATGGTGAGTTTGTTTCTCGGAGCCACTGCTGAGAATTGAAAAGGCTGAATCGGCATGACTCGGCTTAATCCAAGATTTCATGCCCAACGCAGCTGGAAAAGCACACAGAGATATGGACCGTCACTCCATGGTGTGGAAGGTGCGAGTCAGCTTGGAACCACTTGGTCAAAAGCTCTTCCTCTGCAACAAGTGAACCAACCTGGGCGGGTCACCTCCTGAGGTAGGTTGCTCCTCCGAGAACTCCGAACGTCCAAAGGAATGACGGACCAAAGCCTCTTCTGTTGATTCAAACGCCGGACGAAGTCCGTGGCAAAGGCTGCAGCCTTCATCTTGACCTCGTGATCTTTCCCAACGCATGCACAGAATGAGGCCACATCGATAACAATCAACCGCGAGATCTCAGTGGCGATCAGGTTTCCCAAATAGAGCCATGGCGTCCACAGGCATGCCTCAGCCCAGATCTGTTCCATGCTTGTGTACGAGTAGGAGGAAGAATTGGTACTTGACAATGGCAGTATACATGTTCTAATCTAGGCAGGGCCTCATTTCTAAACCACATCGCGATGAAGGTGTTAAACAAATCAAGGCCCTGCCTCCGCCACCCAGATGTTCGAAAGCTGCCGGAGGGGAGCCGCGGACTCTCGACGATAGAAACACCCACCCTCGGCAACATAGAAGCACATGGTGGCCACTTCCCATGCACTGAAGATTGTATCGTCAAGGCCAAGAATGGAATGCTGCATGCCGGTCACAATCTCGCAAACCACTCGATTCGTGGCCTGGTCCTCTTCGTCAAGCAGCATCTGAAAGAATGCACTTCCTCGGAGGCATTGAGAGTGCCTTTGAAGCTGAAGCTCCTCTTGAAGAGGCTTTGATAGCATATCGAGCAACGGAACCGGACACTCCTTTGACATGGCCTTCTTCTTGACATCAAAGGAGTGCCGCAAGAAGCGAGTGATGCGGTGAGACAGATCTGGATCAATGCCATTGTGGGCCAAGTGCCTCTGAAGTAAAGTAAACTATTCAATCTCCTTAGCGAACCAAAGCGGTTGGCCTTCCTAATGTATCCCGTTTTGCTACTGATGATTTCCTCCCAGTCACTTGAACAAAGCCCTTGAAGAAGGTGTTTATTAAAAAAAAATCATCCAGTCAGTCATCACCCAGTCTCCTCATTTTTCATTTTTTGAAGGGTTGCCAAGAGCGAGGTCATTGAGCTCACCATCGTGGAGAAGTTGATCAGCGCGAGAAAGGTGATGATGATCGAGAAGACTCCTTAGCTGACCGCACAAACTCTTTGCTGAACAAGGTGCAGGATCCTTGACAAGGACTAAATCGGGACGACCTGCATGACACTTCTTGGATAAGCTTCAACTCCAAGGACCTCTGGACCACTGGGATGGCTTTGCAACATCCACGCAGAATTGGATGGTGAAACCCTCCCACTCAACCAGACCTACCGGAGTACTACCATCGTGGCATTTTGTCACCCAGGCCACAAGCTCGCTCTGGCAGCTTGGGCCACGATCACCCATGTAGAACAGAAGTCAGTGTTGCAAATATTGTTTACATAGATGTTTGGAATCGGGTACCCCAGCTCATTTCCTTCCTCAAAACCACTTGATGTTGCTTAAAATTGCGTGTCATATCTTGCCATATGTGTTTTTTTCTGCAAGTGTCGCTCGTTTAGATTGACTGCTTCAATCTCGCTCTGCCCGACACCAAGCTGGACACATGCCCAATGAAGGCCTCGGAACTTGGATTTGCTGATATGAGGAGCCTGCAAATATGCAATAAAATCGTTATGCATATACGGTATCTATATATATATGTGATTACATGTGTATGTATGTGTGTATATATACATATATATATTTTTTTATGTGCAAATCATAACTGAGCTTCCCCATCAGGGGAGCCCTGAAGGGAGTGAACAAGAAAACAAAAATAACAAGCCGCCTAAGCAATAGACCAGGAGACTGGTGGCATATTGGAGACTGGGCGTTTTTTCCCTTGAGTTGTAGCTGGTCGACCCACGTCGAGTCAGGATGATCTTCGCTTCCGATAAGGAACCACAAGCAAGCGATAATGTGAGTGGAAATGACCAATTGGACCACAATCTTCAGAACGCTATACTGCATGCTGGCCATTCTCGAACCAAATTGCTCCTGGATGAGTTGCATTGCTGAGCCAACCCTGACCACACGCCCAAGTCGCAAGAGCCCCAGAAAGCGCAAACTTCTAGGGAAGCCCACCGTGGCAGAAGACCACACATTTGCGGCGATGATTGCCCAATCAAAGCTCACAAGTGCCAGGTCGAAGAAGAACCAACCTCGAGCGTATTTTTGGATGGTGTTTCTCAACTCCATCACCAGGACCCCTGAGTCATCATAGCCTGTGATGAAGGACAGCGGAATGGACACATTCCAATAGAAGTGTGCAATCCAAAACATGACCGTCAAGAAGAAGGACTCACCAATGTCAAAGACGCGAAGTGGGACTGCGATTAAATCATATGCAAGCAAGATCATGCCCAAGCTATCCCACCAAGCTTTGAACCTACCACCAGGGCGTCGAAGTGCATGAAAGCAATCAAACCTGCCAGAGGGTTGGGTCAGGTGGTCCTGCAAAGGTGTTGAGGGCCTCCTATGTGCAAACACTGGTAGAAAGAAAGAAAGAAGTGAAAAGAAAGTGACATCGGTTTCTTGGGACACCAGGAGGTTCATTAGCTCTTTCCTGAAACCAGCCACATCCGGCCGGCCTTCGATTCCTTCGATGCACCACGCGTGGCTTCATGTCTTGCACACTCAAGGGCTTGCATGCTCGAACGCTCACACGTTGGAGCTGCTTGACTTCCCAGCTCATCGTCTCATCAGCCCAAAAGCCTCTCACATTCCATAGCACTTCTTGGGGCTCAACATCAAGCAACTCATTTCTGGAACTCCCTTTGACCTTTTCTCCTGTGCCACTGGACAACAGCAAGCTTTGGTCACGCTGTGGAAGCAAACACCTTTGGAGGTCTTTCTGGAAAGGTGCTGATCGCCACAACCCTGAATTGGCAGACTGTGGCACGTGCAGGGTTTCGGGCTGCTCGCTAGGCCAAGGGACTGAGGCTGAGTTTGCCCTTGGCCGGATCATGAGGTTTGTGGATGGCACACACGAATGGCTTCTGGCTGATTGGCTTCTCTCCGGGCTTCGCCCTAGAATGCCCAAATCGTACGAGTTCACCAAGCTCGAGAGCCTCTCCACTTCATCCTGCGGGCCAGGTCGTCCCCAAAACTAGCCCCCACTCAAGATATACAGTAGATGGAATGGCCTTGAGGTACCCAAATGGAAACATGTTCCTTGATGCCCCATGTTTGATTGACATCTCTTTCGCTCAATCTGGTGCTGGCTCAAATCTGCTCGTCTTGCCCCCCGGCCTGCATCAGCTTGTAGGACTCTCCTAGCTGCCGGTGCAGATCCCAAAACCTGCATTCTGCCATGGCCCCGGCCGCATCCCAGCGCCAGCCTTACACCGGCTCCGAGGGTATGCTGGACAGTAGGGCGAAAAAGGGTAGAAACTCGAGCCCACGGGGACAGTCCAAACACGCATCACGGGCAATTTCATATTGGATCATAATTATATATATATTTTTTTTTTTGTAGAGAGGTACCCGCAATCATCAAGCGAAGTATGAAAACGGCTGGGAATGGCCTCCGGTCCAGTTCCACTTCCATCCACTTCCATGTCGAGTCGTTCACCGTCGCAGCGCGATCGCCCTGTCCCGCTTCCGACTCCTCGAGGCCGAGCCGTTCAGAGAGAGCCTCCAGTTGTGGCACGAAGTAGTCGTCGGCCGTGCTGGCCTGCAAGGCAGGGGTCGGTCGTGGCAGGGGACGTGACGGTTTTCTTCGGGGTGGGGACCTTGGATGACGGGCGCAAGTTAGGTGGTTTTCGACATGGTTCTACAGTTCTACCAGGTGCCCATGCGTAGTCGATTTTGGGGGAGCCAGTTTGACACGATGCAAGCAGATGCATACAATGAGCCGGAGGAGTAGAAGGTTCGCAAGCTCACTCTCCCACCAACTCTATTTCGAGATGAATTAATAAATACGGAAGTGACCAAAACAGCTGCCTATGTACAATTCTTCATCTTGCTTGACTCTATAGACTCTATAGACTCTAGACCCCTCCAGCTCTTCCTTACCTCGTCCTCGGGCAAGGCAAGGAACGTTTTCGGGCGACGGAAACGTAACCGCGACCCACCAGCATGCTGATCAGCAGGGCGAGCCAAAGCAGCAGGAAGCACACCTGCTCTGGGGATGCAAACCGGGTGAAAAAGGGAATCAATAAAATCCAATGAAATCCATGTTGGAAGGTTGGAAGGTTTAGGGGAAGCACTTCCGACTGTCGCACCAAACCTGCATCGTCTGCAGACATCTGAGAAGTTCCAAGGCCCTTCGTAAGCAAAATACTTGGTAGAAAAACATGGCCACCTGAGGCCCGTTGTCTGGACCCAGCGATTGGGTTTCGCTCGGGAAGTGTGCAATCTCTCTTGGCTCTGGCCTATGACGATTGCAACTTCATCAACAGCTGGGCGACATGCGGTACACTTTTGGTGTCCGGAGGAAAGAAATTCAGAGAGTCCGATCTTCTTGTGACAAGGGGTCCCACAGGAAAGAAATTGTCTTTCCCACCTCTTGTTGGGCATCTGACTCACGTCCTCCGGACAAACCGATGGGTTTGAAGTAGAAAGCCCGTCGTCCTCACACCAGCTCCAGTTGGCCCACCTTCACAGCTCCTGGCAAGAGCTCCGAGCAGCTGTAGAAGGACCTGAAATGCAGGAAAGAGGAACCAGCCCGGCTGGCGAAGGAAGCAACCGAAGTGGCCGAATGTCCCAAGAATTTGCTTCTGGGTTGTCCCATGTCCGCTGTCAGCTGTCTTGCCATGGCTTGCCTGTGTCGTCAGGTGTTGTCCATCAGGCTTGCCTGTGTTTACACCGGCTCAAAAAATTGCAAATCCAAACCAACTGGAGGCTCGTTTGGGCTACCTTTGGAGGGTGGCGTGGTAGGCTCAGATTCACGCATTTGATAGAATGGTTTGCATCCAACGCCTGATATGGTCAATGTGGCAATGCGGATATATAGCAACATCATGCAAAATCCATGGTTGCCGGCGAGGCACATGTAGTCAAACAACGCCTGGCTCGTTCAAAGAAGCTGCAAGCTATGAACATCGCCGGTTGGCGAAGCATCTTATCTGGATTGATTTTTCGGGTGACCTTTTGCTCATAGAAGGGTGACCTGGTACCACCACTCATGTGCGAAACACTGTCATTGAATGGTAACATCGCTGAGGTAGCTGACATGCGACATGTCGCAAGGCTTCTCCCTCCTCATGTCCCCCGTCTCGGCCCTCTTGGCTGAAACCGCGACCTTCAGAGCCCCTGCACCCCAGGTGGGAACACCGGTGGCAGCACCGGATGGTTCAATCCCAGTGGATCCAAAATGATCCAAACGCACTGAAACCGATGGGCTCCGGTCCCACGTCCCGTCTGCGCAGCCCCCAGCGGCGCCAACCGGACGGCACCGTGTCGGTCTGAGCCTGCGAGTCGCCCGCGGTACCGAGCCTCGCAGCGGTTCCATGTTCCAGCGATGCTCATGGGTCTCCAAGAATGAGGACTGAGGGGTGTTCGGCACCAACTAGCCAGCTTGCATGATGAGAATTGAGTCACCCCCCACCAAAAAAAAGAAACACTAAGGGAACATTTGCCAACTGACTGAGCGCATTTGGCTAGGCAATCTCCTACTTGAATCTATTTGGCACAAACTAAAAACTTGGCCTGGAAATATCATAATAACATATCACAACTAGGCCTGGAAGTCATGTACCCAAATGATCCGTCTTGGTGCAGCTCAGCTACCGCACTACGTGTGCCACGTGTGCCAGTGGACATTCTCCCTAAGACCGTGCTCTCCGCTCCATCTACGCCATCTAGTGTCAACTCTGGGAGCGCAACGCCCAACTCGCCGCCCAGCTCGGCCGAGCTGCTCGCATGGCTCACTATATCTGTAGCGAGTGAGCGCGGAGCCCAGGACCAGCAAGAGCCTCTAGTGGCACTTCTGGGGAGAAGTTTCACGAGATGGGCAAAGGCACAATGATGCACATGAGCAGTAGGTGAAAACGAAGACATGGCCTTGCGAACGCTCGTTTGATATCTCAAAGTGTCTCAAACATGTTGCCGTGGTTGGGACTAAATGCGCTGCGATTACTTTTCTTCCTGGAAGCCACATCCTCATGAATGTCCTCCTTTGGAGCCTCAATACTAATACACCCCTCTACCAAGCCAGAGGAGGGGCCTACGACTCCCTAAACCTCCTATCATTGCCGGGTAGAATGACTAGGTCACCCACACATCTCCCCTGGGTCGAACGTTTTGTTCAGCTGGGCACATGGGCAAGCCTGGCTTCGCTACACAGTATTGGAACGTGTTTCAAACAAATACCTAGGGACGCAAAGGTCTAGATGGTCTAGTTCTTCCTTCTACCAGTGACCAACGCCCCGTCATTCTGAGCCATGGCTATTTGATGGCTATTTGCAGCGCAGAGCTCCGGTTCAGTCCCTTCGTGGCGAGCAGCGTTGCTGCTGCACAAAGGCCTGAAATCCCACAAATGAGCACCTTCTGTGGCGAGCAGGCTCTGGCCATGGCAACTCGCATGTCTGCTATTGGGAATGCCTTCAAGGCAGGTTATGCTAATCATGGCAGGTTAGTTGATGGGTGGGGCATGCATCCTCTCAGTGTCAAAAAGGAGCACATTCTAGCCGGATTTGCCGGACAACTCTTACGTAAAACATCTTAAAACTGTGTGGCTCTCATTTGTGCAGGCATGGCTGAAATGTATGGGAGCCTTGATGACTGGCATGACTGGCGCAGGCTGGAGAGCCATTTTCAGCATGACTTCATCACCACATGCGCTCCAATCAACTACACCGAACACCGTGCAGAATGGCCGGCGAACACTGAGCCAGCTTGGCTTCGTGTCTCATAACTCTACCTCTCCTACGTCAGTCGTAAGAGCCCGGTCGTGGCAGCGGGCCAATCACAGGAGATATGGTCATGCATGGTCAAGGTCATTACAAAACCATGTTTCAACCATTATATACATGTCTTGAAGACAAACCAAATGAAGATACTTGCATGCACAAGGATATGCAGGGTCTAGCCTGTTTAAGTTGACTGGGTCTAAAGTGGTCTAAAAATGATGTTAGACCTTTTGCTCTCAGCACCCCTAGGTGCCCCAATCCTAGACTCTCAGTAGTTGAGGGTATGAATGTTCATGAAAGCTTCATCGACACGACGAGACCACAAGTGCAGCTGGTCTGTGTCTGATGACCTCATCCTCTCTGGGGATCCAGGCACCCAAATAGCTTCTCTTCTTCGGCACTCCAAAAGGGGTGGTTTCTGGCTTGCTTTCGAAGCATTGCCCCCCCGTACCTGGTGAGCTCGAAAGCTGTGCGGGTCAGACATGTGAAGACATGCGGAAGACTGAAGACTATGGCTACTACTATGGCTAATTATTGGCTTTTGACCCACCCAAGGGCCCAAGGGGCGGTGCCAACCTAGGTCGGCTGGGAAGAGCTTTACCACGTCATCGAAAACCAAAGGTCGACATGTCAATCATGGCACGGCGGACCAGTACTCTTTGCCAAAGACCACGATTCCAGTGTGCCTCATAGCATGGGAACAAAACTGCCAGTGACATCCCGACTGGCATGCCTGTCTGGCCGAATTCGTGCAATAAGATCCATCACACTGAGCTCTTTCAAAAGGTGCCTTTATTCCCGTTCGACGTTGGCTCGGGAACCGCCGCTCTCGGATCTCGGTCTCGTTCAACCTTCTTCACATCCAAAAAGGCGCTCGGTCTCGATCAAAACCAATGGATGCTCCAAACCTCTCCCGGGGGAGCCGCACCAAATGCCCTCGACGGACTGGAACATGGCCACCTGAGAGCAAGAAAGAGGGACCTGGGGGCAGCAATGTCCATTCATAGATATATAACATAATTAATATATGTTAGTATATGCATGCCACATTTTTTGATTATGATGATATACGATGACATATAAATATATACATGATGGATGAATGAATGAATGAATGAATGAATGAATGAATGAATGATTAGTATGTCACTGAGAAGGAAAAATCGTGGCGTCTGGATGCGTCTGGTCACATGCGACGTTTTCTGTAAATACAGGTGCCTTGTTCTGTGCGAAACCTTCCTCAACTCCACTTGGAAGTTCCTTTGTTTCCTAACATGTCGTCACGTGGATGCTCGAGCACATGGGGCTACCTCGAGTGGGGCGTGTTTCAACAAGCAAGACCCTCCAGGCACAACAAGGCCACGCACCGGCTACCAGTACAAATCCGCATGATCCGCAGGCTACCAGTCATTTCCATGCCGCACATGACACCACCCACACGAGCAGGCGACCACTTGGCCACTTGGCCGTCGCCCACCGATGTGCCGCTGGGCTGCCGGTGCGGCCCAGGCCGCCAAGCCGTTGGAGATGTCGTACTGGTACAGCCAGACCTGGGAGGGTCTACAGCATCGACTTGCAGGACCCTGAACCTACATCCTGGAAAATTGACATAGAACTTGAAAAGCACTTGGCTGTAGAGGAAAATGGTCTTCCAAAGATCCATTTTCAGGTTCCATGTCCATCTTCCTGGGTGTAAACATCCCCAAACCCCCAAAAACACCTGGGTGGGGGTTAGTCACTAGTCAATTTTCGGGGGGGGGGGGGGCGGGGGCAAAACTGGATGCCTTTTCTCCCTGACAGATCGAGCCTCAAAAGCCTAGATCGGCACAGGGCCGAGAACGTGCCACCAAAAAAATGAAACACACACAGGGGTGTGTGTGTGTGTGTGTGTGTGTGTTTTTGAGAGGGCGACCCTGGACCGCAGGTGTCCTTTGATTTTCCGTGGTCGAAAGGAAGCAAATCGGTCCAACCGTTCCCAGTCGCAGGGCCCCAACAGAGACCTCCAAGGACCGGAGACCGAGCCTCCCTTCACGGTGAGACACGGGTGGACAACGGTCGCATCCCAAGTGTCTCAGACGGCCGAATCAGCTCCTAAGTCAGTTTTCCGGCTAAAGACTTTAGAGCTGACTACCAGTCCAACACATGGGCATGTCCTGCGTCAAAAGGGCATCAAGGGACACTTCCTTCGCTTCCTTAGTGTCTGCAGTTTTGGGAAGGTGAGCTGGCATGCTGTTGCATGCTGGGTGCCGTTGCTGTCTGGGCCGCTGTAAGTAGCGATGCCCACCGAGTGCCTTCAGGAAGGTGAATCCTAATGAATCCAAGGAACAAACATCCCCATTTAAATGCATCCCGCTTGGTGTCTATCCATGCAGGAACATCCAAAGAATCTTCACTGGAACCCGAGGTTCTAGAACTGGATGATGCTCACCCTGCCGAGTACAGCCGCGATGTTTTCACCTCTGGCCTCTTTGCCTTCAGATGGTCATCCATTGCGAGTGCTTAGTCGAGCTCCTTGTTCAACTGGAGCTCCCTGGTCGACCTATGAACTTCGTCACGGCACAACGACCATGCTCAGACGCAGGACATGCGCAGGACGCCCACCGACTTCTTGAGCAATGAGACAATCAGAGACTTGAGGCTCAAGACCAGCACACCATGGTCTCATCAACGACCTCGGCATGCAGCGATTCAGCTCTTGTGGCGCCACAGAGCTCCAAGCTGCACATGACCACAGCGCCGATAAAGACGATGTGATTCCCAACTGACCTGACACAGAAACTAATGCGATTAATTATGCAAATGTATTCTAACACAACTACAGGACTAGCAAGTCGTTCTTTCCACTTCCCCCCCCAAACTTTTATCGAACTGGGCTGTGCCTCCAAAAACAGGCCGCGCCTTCATGGTTGCGCTTTCTCTGCCTCCATCTTGGCCGCAGGTTTGTCAGGACTCCGAAGTGAATGTGGTGAGAGATCACACCTTGAACCACCACATCCAGTCAGGACCTTGGAGGCAAGGCGAAACCGAGGGATGTCGAGGCGAAACTCGAGGGTTGTCGAGGGAAGGCTGGCGGCTGGAGTCTAAATTTGACACGCTGACCCGTCATGGAGTCAAACGGTATATATATATATATGTGTGTGTGTGTGTAACTATGGATATGGTGTATCCGATCTGATCTGATCTGATCTGATCTGCAACCAAGTAACCTACTTCCAAGAATTTGCCCTGTGGAACACTTGCCAGCACTGTGCGAGTGTAGGCCGCAGTCTTGTAGAAATCATGGCCACAAAGAATGCCTCCTGGACGCACCTCTGATTGCTGTCAACAAAGCCATGCTGGTTTCAACCCTTCACCTGCATCCTCTTCATGACCTGACCAGTCATCGGATATCTACCCCCGTACAACCTGGCTCTTTCCGTTCTAACTCACCCCGTACTTCTTCCAATCCAAACCCATCCAAACCCCATTCTTGTTTCGGTCTCACCCAGCCACTGACCATCACTGACCTCTCCGGCCTTGGGGAGGAAGGCCAAGACATCGGCCTCCCGGTGATCGCCTCCGAAGCGCGGTCCACGGTCCACAGAGGGATGGGAGGACTGGGTGGAGCGGCTCGGAGGTCGACGGAGCGCTCCGCTCTTTGTATTGGCTCCCTTTTGAAGCAAGGACCATCAAGGACCCTTGGGGATCAGTATGCGCGAAGGCACAAGGATTTGGTGGGGCCAGTGCTCTTGTCTTTGTAAGACCCTGATTTTGAGTGGCAGCTTCGGGGCACTGCGACCCACATCCATGCTTCATGGTACTTGTGCAACTAGCCTTGCCATGCTTTGCCATCCCTGCAGTGTCCTGAGTCAACGAAGACCAGGTCGAAGGTAGAATCCGCCAAGAGCTTGGCAGCTTTCTGGCAGGTTGGCAGGTCCGTGACAAACGTGGTTGCTTCAGGTTTCTATGGAAGTGCATTCCACGAGCAGGTGGCCGACAGTCAACTTGCCACCACGCCACAGCATGGCCCAACCCAGCCAGCAATTAACCACCCTGAACAAGGCCACCCTCAACCACATCTGACCTTGAAAACTTGATCAACACATGCCACCTAACGACCTTTTTGAACCTTGGTCAACATGCCACTCATGGGCTCTCACCCTTTTGGGCTCTCCGCCTCCCCGGTCATCTGCAAGACCGCGACCCGATCGTTCCACGGCTCCAACGCGTGGCGCGCCAAGCTGGACCGCGGCGTCGGGCCGCCGAGGCCACGGCTGCCTGCGGCGCTCGGTCGGCCGATGTGGGCGTTGGACCAGGCCTGAAGCAACTTGGGCGATCGAACCGCCACAGTTTTTGGGGAATCTTGGTAGAAACCAGACTGGACTCGCATCATGAGAGCAAGTAAATGGTTTCACGATGTTTCACGGAATTTCTTCAGAAACACCCTTGAGCAAAGTTGGGCGCTGGCGGATGAAACTTGGGTGCCCTCCCAGTGATGAGCTCGTGGATGTTCATCCTTCGAACATCCGAGTGGGTCGTGACCCCACATCGCTGTACTTCGCCGTACTTCGCCTGCTCGGCCGCGGGAACTGCGGTTGTTCTCCTCCATCCAAGGATCAATAGTGATGACCTCGAAAGCTCAAGGATGAAATGGGAATGCTTTAAGGAGCACACCACCCGTGAATCCACCTGTTTGGGGGAGGGTAGGGTGAGTATGATTGGTCATCGGGCGCC